AAAGCTGCCAAGTTTGGGCTGGCTGGGATTTCATAGTAAGAAATGGGCCCTGGGTTTGGACTGAGGAAGGTTCTCAGAGTACACAGGGAAGGAAGGGGAGGGAAGGCTGAGGAGGAAGGAAGAGGGTGAGAACAGAATGAAGATGAAAGGAGGCAGGGTGCGTGGGGCCCGAGGTGGCTTGTTGCTTTTCTCCTAGCAGCACTGTGCCACAGCCCTCGATGAGCGGCCTCAGTCTGAGGCAGCAAAGAGGCAGGGAAGGTGAAGGACATGGGCTGCCCCCGGTGCCCGACACCTGTCAGGAGCCCACAGGATCTGCTCTCCTATGAATACCAGGGTCTTTCTGGACCAGAGAAGCATCAGCTGCCCAGACAGCAGCACCTGGGGTAGGAAAGAGAGTGTGTCACAATAAGATGGCAGGACACAGGCAGAAGCTGAGAAAAGGGAGGATCGTGTAAGGTAAAATAAAACAAGGAGAGAGGATGTGGCAAGAAACAGCTTCAAATACTTAACTTTTCGTGTCAATAGCAGAAAATATGGGGAAAGGAGGAATGGGGGTGGGAGATATATGGCTTTGTCATAGGGAATGTAGGTGGGGAATCCCCCTGGATGGGGAGCCTGTCCCCCACCCCCATGTATGTTTTGTCCGCTGTCACCGGACCCAGCAGAACTCACCAGCCCACTGGAGCCTGCACAGACAGGGCCACTTCCAAACAAGGCCGCCTGCACTCAGCGGGCTGTGCCGCCCAAGGTTTAGACTGCAATGTATTTGGCATCTGGCCACTTCATTTTAATATCCTTTAGGAGAAGAGTTATAAACACAAGGCCAAGGCCTGGAGCACTTAGCCGGTTGAGGGATCTGTTCATACCAAGTTTGTCTATGGCTGTCCTGGGAAACTGGCAAGGCTCAGGTTAGTCACAGTAAAGGAGCCTGAATTGGGAATCTTTATCCAGTCACGATCCTCACTGACTTCTAGGGCAGTCTCCTCTGCATGAGGAATGCAGGGAAGGCGAAAGGATTGGCCTGAGCAGAGTCTGAAGCGCTTGCTTCTTGGCCTGAGACGCTGCCTTTGTTGGAAGGCAATGCCTTCAATGGGCATCCAGCAAGCAAGCCAGCTAAGGAGAATCTGCAAGGGGGAAGGATTTCCCCCTTGCAGATTCCTCCTTTTCTTTCTTCCTCTTCCTCTTTTTAACAAAACTCAAAAGCTTTGATCTTTCACAGACAGGTTTAGATGGAGAAAGCATGACGTAATCTCCCCTTGCCCCTTGGAAGAGCATGGGCTCTAGCCTACCCCTGCCAAGTCAAGGTCAGGTCGGGCAGCCCTGTGGGGATGAGAGGCCCTGGGGATTTGGCTCCCTTTAACTGCTAGACAAAGATAAGTTCCAAACGGTTCCCCTTCCCCTTGGTGGACATAGCAGAGGCCTGGAGCCTTGAATACAATTCTCTCATTCCAGGGGGGACAGCAGAGCGATGACAAGAAAAAGAGAAACAGACACCAAAACTCTTGCTACAGCCTCTGGCTGGGCAGAGTCTGTCTCCTCCCAGGGGAACTGATCACTCTGCTCTCATGCTACTCTTGGGCATCTACAGGTAGGACCAGGGACAAGACCCGGATGTCCATATGCTGGTTCTGCCTGCTCAGTATCCAGCCTCCCCACAGTTGTCACCGAGGAGTCCAGGGTTCTGAAGGCAGTGAGTCTCAAACTAGGTATACAAGGTGGGAACAACATGATGCTCTTCCTTCATTTATTTTCCCACTCCAGTGAGTCATTCAGGGGTGAGGGCTGGTGCCCCTTTCTGTACCTGCTTCAGGGCTCCATGTTACTGCCAGTCAATCAGCAACCAGAATTTCTATCCTGCAGCCCCTCTGCCCAAGCTCCTCACTTTCAGGCTCTCTGAAGACTTTGGTAAACCGGCTTCTTTGTGCAGGAGGGTGACAGGTGCCTTCTGGTCAATAGCTACCTAGCCTGAGAGGGGCCTGGCTAGCAGCAGTCTGAGGACTGATCTAACTTTGTCCTTTAGGGGACGAGCAGTAAGAAAGAAGAGAGAGGCCTCTCCAAGTGACAGAAGTTTCTGGTTGGAAGAGCTGGCTGCGTGGGTTTCTTGGGGAGGTGTCCTGCTTCTGAGTGTCACTCAGGAGATCGAGCCCTTTAGAGGAAGCACCAGTGCCTGCAGCCCAGAGGCGCTCAACTGCCACTGCTCCCATCATTGCTGTTTTTATGATTCCTTAAGTCACTCGCTACCTGGGTTGCCAAGTAATCCTCCTCCTCCTCCTCCTCCTCCTCCTCTTCTTCCTCCTCCTCTTCCTCTTCCTCCTCTTCCTCCTCCCCCTCTCCCTCCTCCTAGCATGGAAGCTACTTCCCCCTCACCTGTGAAGCCATTACTCCCAACTTTCTTCTGCTGGGAGACAGTGTTCTGACTGCCCAGTGGGTCTTCCAGCTGAAGGTCCGCAGATGCTCTGAGTGGCAACAGACTTGGGGCTGAGAGTGGGGCTGAGACCTGCTCAGGCTCCTGGGCTGGGGCTTCCCAGTGGCTTTCCAAACCCTGCTCTCTGGGCTGCCAAACCCTGCACTCTTGAGTCCCTTGACTGCCCCAAATGCCACATCCCAGAGCCTAAGTGCCTAGGGGTAGGGCAGGCGAGGGGGCATAGGGCCAGTCCTATAAGGGGCCAGTCCCTGTAAGCTAACACAGTGAGGAGCAGCCTTGGGGCTGACTGCCTAGGCCAGTCTCTGCCACTCACCGCATGGGTGAGAGCTATGCAGGTCGTATCTCTCCTTAGCTGCTGGACAAAGACAAGCTCAAATTGTCCCCTTTCATTTCCTTGGGCCTCTGGCAAAACTACAAAATCTCTCAGTGCCTTGATTTCACCATCTAAAATCTGGGGATAATTAATATCTATTTCAGAACTGTTTAAGGATTTAAACAATGAGATAACAAATGTAGAATGGTTTGAGACCATGGCCAGTACATTACACATAAGCACTAGTAGTTATTACTACCTGGAGTCATTTAATTCTCAGGAACATTATTTGTATCAAGTAGGTATTTTTTCATTCCTAATTTTTCATTCCCAATATTTAGACCAGAAACCTTAAAAACCATGCATTTAGCTCAAAGTAGATGGCCATTGATTATGTTTCTTAAGTCACTATTTTTTTTATTTTTTATTTTTATTTTTTTTGGTACTGGAAATCGAACTCAGGACCTTGTGCTTGCCAGGAGGGTGCTGCCCCACTGAGCTATATCCCAGGCCCAGTCACTGATTATGTAAATCTCCCAAAGCAGCACGGCCTGATGTCACACTTATGAAGTCAGGTACATGGGTCTTAGGGCACCACATCTATTGGTCCCCACTCAATTCCTGTAGTCAATGAGTGGCTGCACTGGGCACCAGGCGAGGAGGCACTCTTCACAAAAAGATGGTCTTCCGGCCATGCTCCTCTGTGTGTTTAGATTCTCCCAGGAAGAGATCCTTTCCTCTCCCACATCCCATCATCTTAATATTCCTACAGCCCACCAGCTGTTTTAATCCACTGCCTCTCCCTGAACATGAACACACCCAGGAACCCTTCACGGGTACTGCTGCTAAGGCAGAAGTTATGGACACGGTCTGCATATTTATTGTGACTCACTCAGAACTCTAAGTTGTAGTTATCACCAATTAGCAATGGGCAGTTTCCCATGGAAATTCAGATTCCTGCCTTTTCTTGAGGAAACCAGATCTGCTAGTATAACGAGCCTGTCCTCCGACACAGAGCAGGGGGCTGGGCAGGCAGCCCGAGGTGGGCTTATCCAGTTTGCCATGGGCTTGCCTCTGCAGACAGCCTCTCCTATAGGGCCTGCTGTTAGCTGCCTTTTCTACCCACTCACTACTGCTCCTGATGTCTAATAACCACCTGCCTCGTGCCATCTCTCGCCTGATCGCTGTAGAACAGGAAACCCTGTTCTTGCAGAGGTTTCCATCTGCGTGTGTTTGCATTTTAGGTGTTTTATTAAGAATGCTGCGGCGTGGCTATTTCCCTGTTAAAGGCATCTGGGGCACCAAGAAGCTATCATCGGGCTGATTCCTTGATGGTTCTGAAAGTGGATTTGATTGTTATCTGTGGAATGTTACTTGGAAGGAGGACCAGATAAATGACCTGCCTGCTTCTCTCTCCAGCCCCACAGAGCAAAGAGATAGGAGGAGGCACCTGTAAGCAGATGGGACGCATGGCCGGGCCAGTGTGGGACCCCTTCAGCAGCAGCTCCGGGGGCCGGAGCTGCCTGCTTGGCCCCTGGAGCTGCTCCAGTCAGGCTGCCCAAACAGACCTCCACTCAGCTTGGCCAGGTTCAGCCTCCTCACACAGCTCGTGCTGTGCGCATCAGCCCCATCCAGCCACACACTGATCTTATGCTTTCTGGCACCCTGGACCTTATTTTACTCAGTACATAATTATTTTTATCTGTTATCCTGGAATATGCCCCTAGGTCTTTGTGAGTTACAGTCCATTTCTGAATAATCTGATTTAAATGATAACAAAATCCCTAGTCAACAGAGACAAAGCACATACTCTGGGCCTCTGTGGCCCAGTAAAGAAGTTCCAAAGCTTGAGATTCTACCTAATAGGCAGGAACAAGGAGAGCCTCGTGCCTGTTAAGTGACAACTTCCTCTTGGTAGCACGAAGCAGTGTAAGTTTGTCCTGATTGAAAGGTCAGCCCTGAGAGAGTCTGCAGGTCAGAGCTGCTGCTGCAGGAGCAGCAACAGCTTTAAACACGGTCACCTTTGTAGGCACAGACTCCCTGGGAGCCGAGGGCAGGCTCTCAGAGCGGTGTTTAGTTGGATAGAGAGCAGCTGCGCTCAGGTGGAAACAGGGAGAGGAGGCCACGGGGCTTCTGGAAGGCAGAGGGCAGCGCAGTGAGATCCCAGAGCTCAGGACAGGCCCACTGCAGGCCAGGGCACAGGTCCACCCACTTCTTCACCCACCCCAAGGCCCACGAGTGAGGGGCCGGAGCGGGGCTCACCGTGGTGCTCGGGGCTCCCGGAAGCGATGGCAGCATGGGCGACAAGGAGTGCGGAGTCGGCGGCCTCCTCTGCAGGTGGGCTTCTCCCCAGGATGATGGCGTGAGCCTGTCGCCACAGAAAGAAGAAGTGAGTTGTCTACATGCTCGGCAGCAGCAGGGAATTAACTGTCCTACTGGGGATAAGAGGGCGGCCAGGGAACTTCCCCTCTCGCTGAAAGAGATGACTGATGTGGGGGTGCAGTCTCTTGGAAGCGCTGGGTTCTAAAAGCACTAAGTGCCGGACGGAATTTGTGAATCCACCTGGCTCTGTGCTGTGGCTGGGGCCTGTCACCAAGGAAATCATTTAAAAGTGTGTGGTCATTTTATTTATGTATTTAGTACAAGATCTAAATTTTCAGCCTCCCAAGCACTGGGACTACAGACACGCCGCCACCACCACGCCCAGTCTCAATCTCCATCTCAGCACCGGGCGGGGCCAGCATGGCATGCCGCAGGGGACGGAACCTGAACCTGGCTGCTGCACTCTGCCTAAGTAGGTGCTTTAGTCTGCGGAGCTTTCTGTCCAGCCAGTATGGTCATTTTAGTCAGCAAAACGATGGTTGGGAAGTAAAAAGCATCAATGGTGAACAGCGGAAGTGGGTGAGCCCAGCTCCTGGCCTGCTGCTCAGCAGAGTGGGAACAGCTACAGGGGTCGACAGGGGCCACCCGCAGCAGTACCGATCTCAGTGACTGGTCTGCCAGCGCCACTGGCTTGCACCCTTGAATAGTGGCCAATGGGAGCTGGGCAGTAGTGTGGCAAACACGTGAGCTTCTTGGAAATAGAGCCCGTATTTTAAGAAAAAATTATGATCACGGGAACATAAAATAATAATTTCAAATAAAATATGAACTACGTCTCTCCAAATAGAGTTACTCTCCATCTGCCTGTCAATATTTAGAGCTTGAAAAATACTTGAGCTATATTTGCATCCATCCTGATGTCACAGGGTGTTGTCTCGCGAGAACAGCAGGCCCAGCTCACCACCAACTCAACGAAACCACCCACATCTTCAGCCAAAACCATCTTTTCTCTTTTTAATTTGATTCATCTCAGGCATTTGACACAGCAGCGGAAAGCTGAGCGGCAAAGTGAAGGCCAAGACTTCTCCCAGCCAATAAGGGACAGGCAGTGCTCTGGCTTTGATACTCTAAAGTCTCATTTCTGTGTCCTGTCTTCAGTGCTGCCCCGGCCCCCTGCTCCCTGGCTCATGACAGAAGGCGTCACTCATGGATGCCAGCACGTTTCCAGAAGCACCCTGACTCCGCCTCCGGATCTGTGACCGATCCATGAAGCTGGCAGAGGAGATAAAGTCATCCCAGTCAGTCTGCACCAAGTCTGCCAAACACAGTCTGCTGGGCAGCACCCACTCTTCTGATGGCCAACCGAATGCATTTCTGAAACTGTAATCGAGGTGGCAGCACTCTGGGACTCTAGACAGTGGTGCTATTTGTCAGGTGGCAAAATCTCAGCTACTAGCTTAGGCTTTCTAAGGTAGGGGCCCCTCCAAATCGAGATCTCTGCAATCACCTTTACTGCTGAGCTAGAACAGTCTGGATTCTTATTCATAAATGCTAACAAATATCCTTTGCTTTAAAATGGCTCTTTTCATCACTGGACAGGAAGAACACAAAGTGACCCGGCGGTCCCAAGTTGGTCACTGATCTTGCTGCGACATGAAAGGTCCTATGTTTTCTCAAGAGGTGCCTAGAAATGCAATTTCATGTTTGTACAAACTACAGCAGCCAAGCGACAGAGTCAAACTATCACAGGTTCTGTGTTTGGAGGAAAGAAAGAGGAGCAGAACTGTCCTTCCTCCCTCAAATGCAAACGGGGTCCTGTTTGCCTGTGGCTCCCCTGGGTGATTTATCTCTGCAACCCACGCCCTGAGGAGAACAGTCCCCGCCTGCTGGCAGGGAGGGTTCCCCGAGCCGGCTGCAAAGGCTCAGTGCATGCTGTTTTAATTGATTAAAACTCACATCAAAGAACATTTTCTGTTTCACTTCTACTCAGTATTCTAATTCAAGGAAATGTAATGAATATGTGTCTATCAAAATTATTTTCAAGTGAATAATTACATGTTCTGGAAGTATCACAAGTTGCTTTTTGCCTTGGAGACAGAAAGTGATCCTTTTGCAGCAGGGGTGGAAGAAAAGCTCAGAATCTCGAGGAGGAGCTGGCTTCTGAGAGCTGAGGGTTCTACATCTAATCACAGAGCTTTCATGACCTCCACAGTTTTGGTGTGAGATGCAAATACTGTATAAGCAAACATTTACTATTCATTATTCATTCCAGGAACTCAAGCCCTGATCTGATTTATTATTTGTTGTTCACAAAGCTTTTTAACAACCATATGTTGGAGGAGGGGGAGGGAAGAGGAGGACGAGGACGAGGAAGAGGAGGAAAGACACCCAGGATGCTTAGGATGTGCCAAATTAGTATCCCATTTATTCAGGAAAATTCTATTCGATTCAGTTTAATTCAACTCATCCCCTTTCGATCCAATGTATTTTAATTTTCAAATGCTTTTTAAATGCCAGATATTGTGTCAACACTAGGAGTTCACACACACACACACACACACACACACACACACACGCACTCATACACCAATCGGGGATTTCAGTTTGAAAGGAGATTATGGACAAACTATGAAAGTGTGGCCGAGTTCCATTTTGGGTGGACACACAGCCCCTGCTCCTAGCTGTGTGTTCCTGTTTGCCAGGGCCCGCCTCCTGTCACCACTGCCAGTGATTTTAGCACCTGTGACACTGACCTGTGTGTGCCAGGCAAAGAGAAGATGGCACATCTGTACAGGCTAGAGGATGAAAAATGTCAATAAAATGACTGCTTGTATAGAAGAAGCCCAGTGCCGCGAGTGCAGGGCCCCAGGACAAGGGGCTTTACGCAAGGAGCCCTGGCCCAGGTGTGCGGTGCATACCTGTAACCCAGCACTCTGGAGGGCTGAGTGAGGCGCAGGAAGACAGAATGTTTGATCCCAGCCTGGGCCATTTAGTGGCTCAGCAAGACTGTCTCAAACTAAAAAAAAAAAAAACAAACCTGGGGATGTAGCTCAGGGCAAAGGCTCTGAATTCAACCATGTAACACCAAAAAAAAAAAAAAAAAAAAAAAAAGAAAGAAAGAAAGAAAAAAAAAAGGAGAGAAAATAGACATGAATTATAGGAGAGGGTGGCTGCTGGTAGGGGAGGCAGTCCAGCAGCAGTGAGTTCACGTGGAGCCGCTAAGGGAATGGACTCCTTTCTCTCTTCCCTCCATAGTCCAGGCTGGGTGGCTCTCAGGGAGGACAAGGATACTGACCTGGTATTTCACGGTCAGTCCTTGGGAATCAGAGGGAGGTCGAGAAGCACGCAGAGGACAACTATAGGAGCAAACGAACAGCATCCTCCTTGGCCTCTCGCTTGCGACGGACTCATGGCCCCCTCCACGCACAGCTCCTTGGGGTCTTGGCCATACTCAGGGCCTTAGCCTGATAACTCCCTCCTACCTGGGGTCCTCGGCTCACAGACGCCCTTGATCCTGTTGTCCCCATGGCTCTGTTACTCCCCTGCAGCTTCTAGTCCCCCACTGCGCGCCCCCAGGGCCTCAGATGTCATGCTCCCGCTGCACTCCCCCACTTCCTGCCAGCTCAGAGGCACTGTCCATCAGGTGAGCGTGCCTTCCCTTCAGCTGAGACTGAGAGTGGAACCGCCCAAGCAACTGTCAGTGGGGCCGGCCACACGTACTGTAGGTTATTCATACAGCAACTAAATTTTTTCTTTATATGTTAACGTGTATATTAAAAAGAAAACAAACCTGTACAGCAAAGAACAATTACAGGTGGATGCAGACACCACGGCACTAATGATGGTCAAGTTTCTCTTCTGAAGCAAAAGGATCTCCTTTATTCCAAACAAAATCTCCCCTGGTTCTCTAATGTGTACAGCAAGTAAGAGTGGAGCTTTTCCCACTGCAGCAGGAGAGGGGCTGGAGCTCACCTGCTGCTCCTGCTGGCTGCCCCCAAACAAGCTCCAAGGAACAGGAGGTGACAGACTGGAAGCCACAGCACCACACTGAGACCTCTAGGAGTGAGTGCAAAGGGCCTGGATGAAGCTGGGGATTACTGCACCATCTTGCCAAACTCGAGCACTGCTTAGTTTTGGAACAATGCTTTACTTGCTAAGAGAATGCAACCCGACCCCTGCGACACACATCTGAGAGCATTTAAGGACCAGGATCGCAGTGAACAGAATGACAGAGGCCTGTTTGCCTCTCCTGGCTTTTCACAGGAGCCCAAGTAAGGGACCCCACTGGGGACTCCTCCCTCCACCTTGGCCACAGTCACTCCCCAGGGCCTGGGTTTCCCCTCACCCCCTTTGTTATTTTCACTATCGTATGGTTATATACTTATCAACTGTCATCTTCAAGTTAAGGAAGAATGTTTAATGTCTCCAAATCTTTTGGGCTGCCAGCCACATTGGAATGCATAAAAAATAAAATAAATAAACAAAAACGGTTAATATTCTACACTGAACAAGGTCATTAATTGAAAAACCTCGTTTATAAAACCTCAAGCCCTGCCAAGACACAGAGCAGCTGTTCCATCCCGGTGCCTCGGGTGCATTTCTGAGGGAAACCGATGATTCCTCAGTGCCAATCAGCTGTCAGTGGTCATGGCCAGAGTGAGAGCTGGCAGGCTCTTATCTCGCTGGGCCTGTCTCCTTGGAGTTGTCAAACGTGCAATATGTCTTGAGGAGAAAGCTTGATAACTAGCGAAAAGGATGAAAGAACACTATTTATACAGGCAGAGCCCCCACAGGAACACAGCTTGAGACCCTGGGGTGGAGGGTGGGAGTGTGGGATCCGCCTCTTGAGGACAAGATGGGATTGGAGGGAGAGACCCCCTGCCCCACAATACACACCCTTGAAATGACTATGGGATCACCATAGTTAAGAGATTGCAGCCTCAAGTGGGAAACCTCTCCTGCACCGGAGTGGAGAATAAGTACCCAAGTCGCCCAAGGTGCGTTTGTGGACTTAAAACTAAGTACATTCACCCTGGAGATAAAAAC